GTGGGATAACTTTAGCTATTTTCATACTATCTGGAAAGATACCTGTCTGAAATGAAAGATTACAGATGTAGCTTATCGGTTTAATTATACAGTCAATAGTCGTTTTCACTATTGTCATGTCGATCCCATCACTATCTGTCGAAGTCTAATTTTTGCATTTGTCTACAATGGATCTAATTTCAATTTCGTTTATCTCTCCCAGAAACATTGACTGCAACACTTTACTTCCCCCATTTCCGCCATCCTCCTTTTGCCTATCGTGTTGTTTTGGATTAGTCTTTGCAAGATTAGGTCCGACATTTACAAAAAAAGAGTTAAATTCATGTGCCACTTCATTCATGTTTTTTACAACCTTATTTTTGTCATCAATGAAGTGATGGGCAGGCCAGTGGATACAGATTTATTTCCAATAACATTATTTAAGATTTTCCATGTGCCCTTGATATCATTTTTCTTTTCTTTTACATTATTATTATAATATTCTCTTTTTGCTTGTCTCATTATAACTGTCAACTTATTTTTATATGCCTTGTATTGCTTTTCAATTGCCTTTGTCCTAAATTTTATGAAGTCTTTATAAAGGTTATTTTTCTTCTTGCAAGCATTTTGTAATGCTTGCAATATAACCTTAGTAGGATATAAAGATGACGAAATTACTGTTTGATATTGAGACATTTTACAGCATGCACATTTGATAACAGCACTAACGTTTGTGTAAGCTATGAATAGCCCAGTGTTGAAATAAAAATATATTTCTTTTAACATTTTGATTCATTTAATGAGGTCATTTTAATCAATGTCTCAAACTTAATACCGTGATGATGTTGTGTTTTCCGTGCAGGTTGTTTGATTTCCGACAACCCATTTTGATGGTGGCTGACCCTGATTTTATTAAAACTGTGCTGGTGAAAGAGTGCTACTCTGTGTTTACCAACCGGAGGGTAAGAGACTCATCTTGTTGCTGTTATCGTACACAAGAATACATTCAATTTCAGCAGGTTGTGGTAAATAACGCCTATGTTAATAAACATGTTGAGTCAGGATTAACACAGGCTCAAATATGTTATCCCTGTGGTTTTTTGAAATCATTAAAATAGTTACATACAGTAGGATAATCCAGCTATAAGATAAGATAAGATAAGATAGTACTTTATTGATCCCAATTTGGGAAATGTTTGCGTTGCAGCAGCATAAAAAGACATGGCATTGTACAATACAAATTCAAGACAAGAAATAAACAAGAAAGTAGAAAATATACATGTTGAATTCAAGGTATTATATATACATAAATATATGACAGATGGAATATTGAACAGATTATTTTATTTTAATAATTATTAATTTATATTTATTTATATATAATTTATATTTTATTATTTATTTTACCAAGACAAGGATCAAATGTTGGAGGAACTCTTCTGTGCAAGAATATGAGCATTCAGTGTGTTTGTATTTACGTTCACAGGAAGCTGTAGGGGATGTATCTTTGAAGGATGCAGTTACAAACGTTAAAGATGGAAGGTGGAAAAGAATCCGGAGCTCTTTGTCCCCGTGCTTCACAAGTGGACGACTCAAACAGGTTTCATTTCTAAACTCACAACTGCTTCTGCAATCGGCTTTCTTTTACCTTGTGCAGCTATACACATTCATCTTTATTCAGTAATAATTTTGCACTTTAATGTGCAATATTACTCTCATTTGCATTACTCTGTAAAGATGTTATAATATGATTGCCAACAGTACTCTCAGAATTACTTTACTAAATCTATCTTATTGAATTGTTGGTCTATTAGGCACTGATGTACTGGAAGTATTACTTCCTATTTTTTTGTTTTTTTGTTAAATATAGTCATTTCAGTTTTACATGTATACATTTGTCTTATTCGTATTTATTGCCTATTTCTTAATTTTTTTATTTAGCAACCTCTGGCACATAAATAGTTTCTGGATTAATAACGTTTTATCTGATCCTTTTTATTTTGTCTACATACATGTATCTACAGTCTGCCACATATACCCACTGAGATACATTGTTACCAACGACAGAAATAAATATGCAAAGTAGATAATCAACATAAAGCATCTCTTCTTCCTTTTTTAAAGGTTTTCCCCATCGTTTCTCGCTATGCAGACAAACTCACTGAAAAACTTGGAAAAATGAATTTGGATGAACCCATCGATATCAAACAGTAAGTTGCAAGCATATCCTGCATTGTTGCTCATGAAATATATCAAAACTGCACCTAATACATGTTAGTTCCTCAAAGAAAACATATTTTCTTTTTGCTATAGATTCGTGGGACCTTACAGTTTGGACGCTGTGACCAGTGCATCTTTTAGTGTTGAGGCAAACTCCATAAACGATGCAGATGACCCAATTAATGTCCACATCAAGAAGATTCTTGACTTTAAAATATGGCTTTTGCTATTATTGAGTATGTCCTTTTACCTCTGTTAAAGAGGAGAATATTTAATAGTATTAGTACCTTGGGATCACCAGTATGACATTATAATTAACAACCTTTTCCCCTCTTTTCAGTGATGTTTCCCTCTGTTGATAATCTGTTGAAGGCCCTGAAAATTGAACTCATGCCAAGCCTCAGCGTGAAATATTTCTATGACATTATCAAGAGATTTAAAGATGAGCATCAAGCAGAGGAATCTGTAAGCATTTCATCTGTACTAAGTGAAACAAGTGTTAAAAAGATTGCAATGACATTTTTGAAGAATAAGCTTTCTTCTATAGAGTTAGACAAGAAGATTAATAGCAATGTTATATATTGATGTGGATGTTGTGCTGATCTAGAGTCGAGGGGACTTCCTGCATGTGATGCTTCAGAATGAGATACCAGAAACGGACATAAAGGGCGAAGAAGATCAGCCAACTAAAGGTATGATTGCAAACACAGTAATAATTCACAAAAGTCGAGTCAACAATCAAGAATGAAGTCATTCCTTTCAGGACAGACGCATGACAATCTATTTATATTACAGTTATGTATACAAACAACAGACAAAAAAACACATGAAAGCTAATGGGCACAGACATTCCCAGTCCACTTAAAGAGGACATATTAGCCTCCTTTTCAGGTTCATATTTGTATTTTGTACCTCTACTATGTGTTGGAGCCAATAGAAGCATGACTGTTACAAAGTGGTGGCTATGTCACGGACGTAAACAAAGGAGCACTCACCAATTTACATACATTCATACTGAGGCAGAGGAGGCACCTGCTTAGTATTCCTTCTAACAAATGTGTTTACTAACGTTCACACACATTCAACCTGTTGACTGCAAGGACTTTTACCCCCCTGAACCACGGCAACCCAATGTCAACCCCTCTCCACTTGTGAAAGTATTTTTCAACCTGGATGTTTTGCTTCGTTTTGTTGTAGGTTTGACTGAGCACGAGATGCTTTCCCAGGCCTTCATTTTCATCTTTGCAGGCTCCGATACCACCAGTGTCACCATCACTTGCCTCCTTTACAGTCTGGCCACCAACCCGGATGCATTGCAGACCCTGCTGGAAGAAATCGATGCCAGCATACCAAGAGATGTAAGAAAATGTGATTCTCTGCCATATTTGATCAACTTTTCAAAATTGTATATTGTTCTAATCCTCATCTTTATTTTCATGTCCGATGCTTCCTTTACCTCCCACCCATAGGCTCCTATTTCATACGAGGATGTGATCGGTCTTCAGTACCTGGATCAGGTCATTTGGGAGTCGATGCGTTTCAATCCCACTGTACCTCGAATTGAGAGGAATTGCAAGAAAACGTCCCAGTTCCACGGCATCACCATCCCTGAAGGAACTATCGTGAGCATCCCTGTGTCCATGTTACACATGGACCCGCGCTTCTGGAGATCACCTGAGCTTTTCAGACCGGAAAGGTAAAAGAAGAGAGCGTAACAGCTGTCATGAAATTGTAGAGGTTAAAATGTTCCATTTTACTTGCTTATTCTGATCCACTTAATAAACAGACAAGTCATAAAACCATTTAAAAAAAAAAGGCACCAATAAGAATAGAAACACATTTTATGTAACGTAGATAAAAGTGTGTGTGTGTGTGTGTGTGTGTGTGTGTGTGTGTGTGTGTGTGTGTGTGTGTGTGTGTGTGTGTGTGTGTGTGTGTGTGTGTGTGTGTGTGTGTGTGTGCGCGTAGGTTCAAATAAAGACAGCGGGGAGGAGGTGAACCCGTATGCTTACATGCCGTTTGGGCTCGGTCCTCGCAACTGCGTTGGGATGCGCTACGCCGTCCTCACCATGAAGGTGGTTCTTGTCCGTCTCCTGCAGGATTACTCTGTGGAGACATGCAAAGACACCGTGGTAAGAGTAACACACATATTCATGCAAAGCAACACACACATTCATGTGCAGTCAGACTGTCATGTCCTTGATTTAAAATTGTTTTCTTCCTTTAGATTCCTTTGGAGTTGAACTGGATGTTCCAGCCAAAACAGCCAATAAAACTACAATTTGTTCCCAGGAAACAATAGCCCAAACGGGAAAATCTCTGAATATAACGCGCTTTATATCAATATGTAATGTAATTAAAGGGGGAAGAGGAGAAAGTATTGCATTTTTAAGCTCAGTAAAAATAAATGAATTGGTCTATATTGTTTCATCTTATTTTGCGTTAGATTTGCTTTTCTGCCATTATACATTTTGAAAAGTCTGTAGTCCTAACTTTGCAGAAAAATGCTAAAGTGATTGATGATTTAAGAGTTGCTGGATTATTTACTCAATATCATCATGTGTATATTAACAACAAGATCAGTATTGCAATTCGCTGGGATGTTAAAAGCAAATACGTGTGGTGACTACCTATTTATACACTGGGTTCATAATTCATACATGGAACTACAGTTGGGGGTATTGTTCCCACACGGACATGTTACACTGAGCAAAAATATAAACGCAACACTTT